CTGGGGCTCCACACACAGCCAGGCAATAGTTAAAAGGGGAGGCAAAGGAGCATAGATGGAAACCAGAGAATCCTGGGGCACCTCTCCGTATTAACACTAAGAGTGAAGTTACCACTAGATTACTGCTACCCTACACAGACAAGATCTGCAAGGGTCTTTTATTCCTACCAGTAATAAAAGTGTGCAAACCACGTATCTGACTCCAAAGTCCATGTTCTTTAACATACCAGTTTCTGCTGATACCAATCTACTTGCAGCTCCTTACTCAAGAAGTGATCCCTCTCATTTCCATGCTTTTGTACCTGTTAGTTCGTCTGGAATGTTCATATCAATCTTCCAACTGAAAATTCCTAACTTCTCCTCTTTGAAACTTTCTCTGATGCCTACAGGTTAGTCCCAAACATCCTGACATAATACTTCACAATATCTAACATGAAATACACTTTATATGCTTTCTGGTTTTCCTCACTAGCCTGTAAGGCTTCTAAATGGTAGAAACCACATCTTTCATATTTGTATCCTCAACAATTAGTACTCAGTATATGGGAGTAATAAATTCTACTGAAAGAATATCTGGTCTTTCTTAATTTTCCATAGTATTAATCATTGCATCTTAGATTTGGGGTATTTATGTTTAAATCTGCATCTAATGTACCATGTTCAGTCCCTTAATTATTTGAAACAGTGTTCCTCAATCCTTCCAGTAAGTCTAAAAACTTAAGAGCTGAGTCCCCGCTTTTTACTATTTCTGTATTCTCTTTAGCACCTATGAGTATTAGGCACATGGTAAGCACTCAATAAATACTTGATGAACTGAATTTAAAACACAGTATTAGCACATTAATAGGAGCAACTTATCATGCTCTACTGATCTAATTAAAAGATCTGGCCTTCTGAAGTAGTGCAATTGTACTCATATGGAAAATTTAATGAGAAAAAGAAAAATTATCCAACTGGACAGTTAAAAGCTTTTCTCTTAGTGAGAGTTCTGCAAATATTTTCTGGATAACAAGAGTGAACCTCTAGAGCTCAGAGTAAAAGACTCAAGGTATACATCCCCATGCGTATTGGAAGGAAGATTACATGTTTAAGGGATCTGCCACAACCATAATTACTTAAATTCCACTAACCCTTACCAAATCCATAACAGAAGTCATAAAAATATTTAATAGCAAATCAACCCACGTCAAATCAACTATGCTAAAGATGTATAAGGCTATCTCTGCATAATATATAACATGGCAGTCACTTACTCAGCAAACATTTATTTAGCCCCTACTAATGACAAGTGCTATGTTAGGTCCTAAAATTACAAAGACAGGGGTACCTGGCTGGCTCAGTTGGTAGAGCAGGTGACTCTTGATCTTGGAGTTGTAAGTTCAAGCCCAATGTTGGGTATAGAGATTACTTAAAAATAAAATCTTTAGGGGTGTCTGGGTAGCTCAGTTGGTTGAGTTCAGACTCTTGGTTTCAGCTCAGGTCATGATCTCACAAACCATGAGATTGAGCAGCATGCAGCCTGCTTGGGATTCTCTTTCTCTCTCTCTCTCTCTCTCTCTCTCTCTCTCTCTCTCTGCCCCTCCCCTGCTCGCACCTGTGTGCATGCACTCTCTCTCTCAAAATAAATAAAACTTAAAATAAAATCTTTAAAAAATAAAAAAATTAAAAATTACAAGGACAAAGAGAACACACTTCCCATGTTTGGGGGTTCTAACTTTGCCATGCTGCAATGGTATTAAGAATACAACATGAGGGGCGCCTGGGTGGCGCAGTCGGTTAAGCGGCCGACTTCAGCCAGGTCACGATCTCGCGGTGCGCGAGTTCAAGCCCCGCGTCGGGCTCTGGCCTGATGGCTCAGAGCCTGGAGCCTGTTTCCGATTCTGTGTCTCCCTCTCTCTCTGCCCCTCCCCCGTTCATGCTCTGTCTCTCTCTGTCCCAAAAATAAATAAACGTTAGAAAAAAAAAAACATACAAAAAAAAAAAAAAGAATACAACATGAAACATACCTCATTGAGTTGCTCAACATGGAGGCTCTAGAGAACAGTCTGGTAGAAAAGGTAGATAAACACATACTATGGCAATGTAACCAGCATTATCCCAGAAATAAGTACAAGATGTTATGGGGCCACAGAGGAGAAAATAACCAACCTACTGAAGACCACAGGAAAAGATATGGAAGACACTGACATCCATACATGAATTCAATGCAAGTTAAGGTGAGAGAAAGCTACCACAACACAAACATCTGGGACAGAATCAAACCTGAAACTAGGGTTGCAAGCAGTGTCAGAAGGATTCCAAAGCAAACCAATCCAAGTCTTAGCAAATCACTGTAAAAGAGCCAAAAAGTAAAGTACTCCTTGCTGTTAAGCTTGAGAGTAATAAAACACATACACAATTAAACCACCATATGGTATAAACATAAAGGGAGTCTTTTAAACAATATGTGGCATAAAAGTTCAAAGGGAACCAATTGCTAAGAGTTAGAGAGAGCTGTTAGGAAAACCTTTATAAAAGTAGAGTTAGAACTATTGTCGGTGGGGAGGAGCACAAGGAAGACTGCCCACGTGCTAAGAATGACCAATGTCATTAACAAAAGCAAGAGATCTGAACTACAGAGTTGTGGGACCATGAGGAGGTCCAAAGGTTTGGAAGCACTGGGTAAAAACTGGACACGTGAGTGAAGGCTTGATTCAGCAGAGCCAGGAACACAAACCTAGCAGCTTGGACATTGTTCTAGACTTAGTAGTTATCAACCATGACTGCTAAATAGAAACACCTGGGGAACTTTAAAAACTATGTTTTTGGCTAGGGCTCACCCCATATCAAAAGTACCTGGGTGGCTTAGTCAGTTAAGTGTCCAACTTTGGCTTAGGTCATGATTTCTCAGTCTGAGTTCGAGCCCCACGTCAGGCTCTGTGTTGACAGCATGAAGCCTGGAGCCTGCTTCAGATTCTGCTCTATGTTCCCCTTCCCCCGCTCACACTCTATGTGTGTGTCTCTCTCTCAAAAATAAACATTAAAAAATAAAAAAAAGGAGCGCCTGGGGGGGTTCAGTCGGTTAAGCATCGGACTTTGGCTTGGGTCATGATCTCGTGGTTTGTAAGTTCGAACCCCGTGTTGAGCTCTGTGCTAGCAGCTCCGAGCCTGGAGCCTGCTTCAGATTCTGTGTCTCCTTCTCTGTCTGCCCCTCCCCCACTGGTGCTCTGTCTCTCGCTATCAAAAATAAATAAATGTAAAAAAAAATTTTTTTTATAAAAAATAAATAAATAAATAAATAAGTATGAGAATCTTTGGAGGGAGTGGCATGGACATGAAAATGTAAAAGCATACAAGGTGATTCTACTCTACAGTCCAGATTCAGAACGACTGGACTTGAGGCTAGAAAAGTAAAAGATGACAGGTATGGTTAAGACCTAAGCTTGATTTCAGTCTCTGTTTATAAGTAACAATTCTGAGCTGATTACCTGTTGAAGTTTATCTTCTAACCTTAAACATTCTGTTTCCTTAGTGTTTCTTTTCCCTTGTTGACAATGTAACCCATCAATTTCTCCTACATGACTGGTTCACATTTCCAAGATGTCCTATAGACAACTAACTGAGAAAATAAATATTTCAATCCTATGCTGCCCTTATATCCCTGCTATGAAGTGCTTTCATATTAAAGAATGTTCTAGGCTGCAATCATGTTTGGATTTTACAAAACTCCTCTTTTAAATATAGATAGAATATAATACCTACATATACAAGAGCCATGTTACTTAGACTAGATCAAAATGTGAGATTAAGCATTCATTCTTATAGTATCTGGAGACATTATACTATTTCTGGTTACAGACATGCAATGATTACAAAGTACTTTGCTTCAGAATCCTGTACAAATAAAGGGAAACAACAAATGTATCCCATACAGTAACTCTGTGCTACATTGAACAAGTGTCCTATGTGAGAGGTAAAAATCAACAAGATGATTAGAGAGTAGGGCAGCCTGTTGATCCTTCAAAAAGCAGGCTGGTTTGTTTGCTCACTTGTTTTTAAAGAAAAAGCAAAGGTACCGATATGCTTCAGGTTCCATGTTACTCACCAAAGTGTTTATTCAAGAAATCTGTACTTTGTCTATAGGTAAGCAACCTTCTTCTTGATGCAAACTTAAGTTAGCCACAACTGTCTTATTTTTGGTAGTGTTAGGTCAGTATACCTACTTAATGTTATGAGAACGTAAGTTGGAAGGTTTTAGCTGGGATTACACACACACACAGGTTTGTGTAGTCTCTTATTTCCAGACAAAGTTAATAAACTCGTACGGCCATATCCCAACGTAACCGTGGGGCGGGGAGAGGAGAGTGAGTATTGGAAAACCCAATGATCAAAATGTGAAACATGAAAAAGAGTCCAGAAATATTTCTTCAGAAATATAGAGCCAGATTTCAAGAGTTGGCCATATGCTTGTGCCGATCCTATTAAGAAAGGAAAAGAAAGGCTTCTGAAATGAAAACGCAAGCCTAACTCTCTGACTGTAGGGGTGAGACTTAACAAGCAAGTCTCATGAGTCGTACCAGTGGGTCCGAAGAAATTCAGAGAGCAAGGAATAAAGTGGGGATGAAGGAGACAGGAAAAGGTGAAGGAGGCAGGCAAAGGCCATCCGGTGTGAACCTTGATGCCCGGCTCTTTATGCACCTAGGGCAGCGTGGAGCCTCTCCCGCCCCGCGCGCATCTGGGAGCCGGGCCGCAGCGCGAGTCCCCCACCGGCCCGGCACCAGGGGGCGCGGGGCGCCGGAGACAGGGGAGAAGAGGGGTAGGTGCACCGCCCACGCTCGCACCCCACCGGGCTCCGCACTCAGGGTCCCCAGGAAGGAGACACACTCCAAGCAGCCCTAGTCTCCGGGACCGGGAGGGGGTGGGTGGAGCAGAGCCCGGAGCCGCCCCCCGGAGCCGCCCCCGCAGCCCCGGCCCCCGCCCCCCGTCCCGGCTGTCAGCGGCCCCCTCCCGCAGTCACTCACCCACTGGCTGCGCGGTCTCGGCCGCGGCGGCAGCGGCGGCGGCGACCCCCGCCTGGGTCATGATCCCAGGCGGGTACGGCAGGGGTGTCCGACCGCCCGGGCGAATCTCTCCGTCCGCGGCCGCCGCCTGCTCCTCTGGGGCTGGGGGAGCGCGGGCCCAGGCCCTCCTCTCCCCCCGCCCCCGCCGCCTCTTCTAGCGGCCACCGCCGCCGCAGCGAGCCCGAGCCCTCAAGGCCGGAGACCCGGCGGCAGCGCGGCCTCAACTTTCCCAGCCCCCCTCCCCCCGCCCCTCCCCGCCCCTCCCGCGGCCGCCGCTCAGCAAGCGAACAGCCTACCCTTGGTGCTCGGCGCTACCGCCCCTGCCACTCAGCCCACCAACCCGGCCCCGGGGAGGTTGCCGCGGTGGCCAATCAGAACCTGGGACGCCGTTGCGCTAGGCTAGAGGGCGGGAGGAGTTGGAGGGAAAACCGAAGACCGAACGGGCCTCGGGCGGCCCAATGAGGAGGGCCGGGGGGCGGAGGTGTGCAAGTTGGGTTGAAGGAACAGGAAATATTCTTAAAGGTAGAGTGATGGGCAGCAAGGAAAGCCAGTAGGTGAATGGGAGAGAGGTGGGCCTGGTTCCTTAAAGGGGACGACTTGAGAACCTAGAAAACGAGGTATTTTTATGAAACTTCTTTATATCTTGTTCTCTGTGCTGCTTGTCACGTCTTTCAATAGTTTGGAAGTGGAAAAACTAAAAGGGAAGAGGGCGTGGAAGTCTTCCAAGAACGATTAGAGAGCTCCTCTTAGCCTAGAGGGTAGGAAGGGAAATGATCCCTCCGTCACGAGAAGTGGGAAGAGAATCCAGACGTCTCAGACTGCCCTTTCCCTGGAAGATCATTGCCAACTTGACGCTGCTCGAATTTGTAGGTTGCGGTCATCTGTTATACTGCGTTTACAACAAAGCATGGATTCCTCTGAACTGGAGATGACCGTGTTCAGAAATGTTCTGGCGGCCTCCCAGCTGGGGGAAAACAGTATGGGGCATTGGGGGATGGATTTTGGAACCTCAAGCTTGAGTTCCTAGAGACCTAGATTTGAGAGGTGTAGAGCCGCGGGGTCATGAATGGAGACCTGGGGGTCCCCTAACTGCAAAATGGGCTTGGAGCCCTGGAACCGTGGTCATAACTCCCTTTTCCTCCTTTCGCTTCATATTTCACAACTCTTCCTCTCCGGAAACAGGTGTCCTCCTCCTAGTGGTGGTGAAAGATTCCCAAGCGCTTCCACAACCAGGTTAGGAAATGTCCCAGATTATAGACGCCCGTGGGCCAGACCAGGTAACTCCCAGGAGATGCACACAGGGCAAGGCGTAGTGGGAATTACTGAAGCCTGTGCACAGAAGACGCTGCCCTTGTATTGAGAAAAAGTGTGAAGTTAAACAGTAACTCCATGGTAATGTTTAAAAGGTGTGATGAAACAGAAAGCCTTTCACGTTGCCTATAAACTGTGGCACTACAAACAGACTGGATATTTTCTTCAACTCGTCCACCTAGGCGTATGAAGTTCTGATTAGCCTCTGGATGGACTTAGCACACTGAAATCAAAGCTGCAGATGAGGAAGACTCTACAATACAGAACCTAATGGCAATGCTAATGGCACCTCCATGAAATTGTATAGTATTAATATGTCCAGATGTAGGAAATAATTTCCATTATGATCAGAGTATAAAGTATTCTTGTTAAGAAACTATTCTGGCTGGGGCGCCTGGATGGCCCAGTTGGTGGAGCATCTGACTCTTGGTCTCCGGGTGGTAAGTTCCAGCACTACATTAGGCATGGAGTCTACTTAAGAAAAAAAAAAGAAACTATTCTGGTTAATAAATATCATATCTAGGGTGTGTATTATTTTCTAAACAACTACAATTTATCAAGTCTAAAATAACAGTTTGGATGGTTCAGAAAACAGAATTTAAGAGTTTCTTTGGACCACTGTTTAACACATTAATACCTTTCTAGCATAATTGAGAAGTATTAAATAAGAGAAATTTCTGTTTGACCAAAGATTTGAATGTTAGCTTTTTAATTTTATCCTCATTCCTGACTGAAGCTGAAATTCTAATCATAGATCTTTCTATCGGCTTTGTGCATTCGACACTGGTTTACTACACTGGATATGAGAGGAATACATCAAATAATAGCACCAGTCCAATTTTCAGGCTAGCTGGCATGTGTTTGCAGTTCATAAACTAGTGATGAAATATGGTGGCCAAGTGAAACTGGTCTTCCTGCCTCCAGGCCCAGTCCATTTTTCACACAGCATGGGTGAATCTGGTTTTCACTCACATACTTCAGACCATTCAGTGGCTCTGAAAGACTATTTGCATGACATACAAGCCCCTCGCTGGCATCTTCAATTTCATCTTCTAACATCTCTTTTTCTCTATTGGTGGGGATGTAGGAGTAGGAATGGAGGGCGCTGACAGCCAGGCCTGAGTTCATGGTCTGCCCCCGGGTGGAGGGGAGGCTCCACCTATCCCCTTCAAGTCCCGAGGTAGGGGCTGTGCAATGTGCCTCTTTCCTGGGCCCAGTGGGTTAGGGTTAGGGTTAGTACAGGGCCCAGTGGGGTGTAAACGTGGGCAGTGTGCTTGTCCTCTTGTCCCAGACCTCTGGGCTCCCCACGTCCCCTCGTGCCAGGTGCATGGGGTCTCCCACGGTGCCGTGATCCCTGATCTATGCGCTGGGCAAGAGAGGCTTCAAGCTGGTGTTTTCTTTTTAGAAGGTTTCAGTAATAAATGGCAGAGATGCAAGCGAATCTCTTGAAATCTACTTCGGTATTTCTCGTGGAAACTACCCAATTATTTTCCAGAGTGGTTGCAAGATTTCGTATTTTCAACAGCTATATATGCAGATTCCAGAGATTCTACATCATCTCCAACCCTTGATATTGTCAGTCTTTTTAATTCTAGGCATTATAGTGGGTGAGATGTGGTTTCTCTTGATTTTAATTTGCATTTATCTAATTACTAGTGATGTTGAGAATATTTTTGCATGTTTATTGGCCAGTTGCATCTATGGTAAAGTGTGCAGATCCTTAGCCCACTTTTAAATCGGTATGTTCTGGATAAAAGTCCCTTCTCAGATATGTGTTGTGTAAATATCTTCACCCATCTGTGACTTTACACATTAAAAACGAAATAGCTTGAGGCATGTGGGTGGCTTAGTCAGCCAAGCACCTGACTCTTGATTTCAATTCATGATCTTATAGGTTGGTGAGTTCCAGCCCCTGGAATTTATTTTTATGTTAAAAATAAATAAATACATAAATAAAATGTACAACATAAGTCTGATGTATGTAAACACCTTTGCAAACATCTCCACAATCAAAAATAATGTACCTATCCTGCCCTCAAATTTCTTCATGCTCCTTAATCCCTTCCACTCGCCCTCATCTGTTCTCAGGCAAAAATTAAACTGCTTTTTGTTGCTATAATTCACTTTGATTTTCTAGAATTTTATGTGAATGGAAGCATTCAGTGTATACTGAATGTCTTCTTCTCTCTGTCTGTCTTCTTTCATTCAGCATACCTTTTCTTGTTTGTTTGTTTTTTTTTTTTTGAGATTCATCCACTTTGTTGTGTGCATTAATAATTTATTAGGTTTTGTTGCTAAGCAATATTCCATTGTATGGATATGTTGTATATACTCAAGTTGGAAAGCAGTGGGACTGTTTGCAGTTTTTGACTATTAACAAATAAAGAGGCTAGAACATTTGTGCACATTGCTTTCATTTTCCTTGGCTAATACTTGGGTAAATATCCAGTGGAATGGCTGAATCAGATGGTAAGTTATCTTTAAAAAAAAACCAAAAACCTGACAAACTTAGTCATAAAAAAATGAAATCTTGGTATTTGCAACAACATGGATGGACTTAGAGGGAATTATGCTAAGTAAAATAAGTCAGACAGAGAAAGACAAATGCCATATGGTTTCATTTAAATGTGGAATCTAAAAAACAAATCAAGTGAACAAACAGCAATAACAACAAAATCCAGTAACAGACTCAAAAATACAGAGAACAAACTGGTGGTTGCCACAGGGGTGGTAGGTGGGCAAATGGGAGAAATAGGTGAAGGGGGATTAAAAGGTACAAATTTACAGTTATAAATAAGTCAAAGGGCTGTAAAGTACAGCATGGAGAATATAGTCAATAATATAGTAATAACTTTTTTTATGGTGACAGGTGGTATTACACTTATTGTGGTGGGCATTTCTTAATATATATAAACGTCAAATCACTATGTTGTTCACCTGAAACTACTATAATATTGTATGTTACCTATACTGCAATTAAAAATAATTTTAAAATGCATACACACATAAATACTGCCAGTTTTTCCAAGTTGTACCATTTTGTGTTCCCACCAGTAGAATATGCAGGTTTGAAATCTGAATCATACCATATCCTTGTCAACACTTAATATGGTGATTCTTTTCAAATTTTAGTCATTCTGATAAGTGTGTAGTGGTATTTCATTGTGACTGTAATTTGCATTTCCCTAGCAACTAATATATTGAGCATCTTTTTATGTACTTATTAGCCATTCGTGTATCTTTTGTGAACTGTAGTTCAAAATCTTTGGCCATTTTTATTGAGTTTTGTTACTTATTGAGTTTTCAAGGCTTTTTTTTTTTTTTTTTTGAAGTCTTTTTTTTTTTTCTTAAGTAATGGCTACAAGCGCATTGGGCTCAAACTCATGACCCTGAGATCAAGAGTCACATGCACTACTGACTGAGCCAGCCAGGTACCCCAAGAGTTTTAGGTTTATTTATTTATTTTGAGAGGGAGAGCGTGCATAAGCAGGGGAGGGCAGAGAGAGAGGAGAGAGGGAATCCCAGGTAGGCTCTGTGCTGTCAGCACCAAGCCCTATGCAAAGCTCGATCCCACCACCCTGGGATCCTGACTTGAGCTGAAATCAAGAGTCAGTTGCTCAACTGATTGATCCACCCAGGTGCCCCTGGGATACATATTCTTTATTAGATATGTGATATGCAATATAACCTATATATAACCTATATAAGCAGCTTATTGAGTTATAATTCACATACCATACAATATACCCATTGTGGCTGACATTCCATTGTAGGGATATGGTACATTTTGTTTATTCATTCATCAGTTAATGGCCATTTGGGTTTCATCTACTCTTTGGCTACTATGAATAACACTGCTATAAACATTCATGTATAAGTTTTTGGGTAGACATATGTTTTCAGTTCCCTTAA